CGTTTAATGGGGATGTCATTTAACAAATATGAGCCAAGTCTGAGAGGCGCTCACTGGAAATAGGGCCAACCACGAGTTCTTAACGTACGAATGTACAGTGATCCGAAACAAAAATGCTATAAGGTTGTCCAATTTTGTAATAATAGAACGACTATCAGTAGTATTACAACAAGGAAGATAACAACTGCAAAAAAAGATAAAATTAACTGAATCCCTAAAATTGATCTGCCAATCTGCTGCACTGCTGCTGCTGTGCTGACTGCACAGATGGCGTAGTGGTTTAAGCGGTCGCCACGCCGTTTCCTACTGCGCCGAGTGTTGTGGGTTCAAATCCCACATGGGACGACACTTTGTGTGATCCACAAATTGTTGTTCTGAGTCTGGGTGTTCTTTGTGTCCGTTTCATGTATGTTTGTAAAGTCCCCCGCAATACAGGATATATTCCTAATGCGGGAGTTGTCTTTTTAAAAAAGAAAAGAAATCATTTTATGAAGTGCAGTCAGAGCTTGCCTTCCAACTTGCCCTATTTGCTTGAATAATGGGGTGGGCCCAAATATATATACACACATTTATATTGTATATGGACGTACATATGTACTTAACAGCCAGTTTAAAAGTACCTGTCACGGCGTTTATTGTGTACACATTATGTATATAAATATATACGCCGTGACAGAAACGTTACACTTGAATAGAGCCTGTATATCTACAACATTTTTTGTATTGCTTGGGATACAAAATAACAATCGGAGCGCCAATATCACCTTGTATTCTAGCTACACAAGGGTTTTGTTACTACAAAGTACAAAATCTTCGTAATATAATGCCATTTTATAGATAACGCCATCAATCGGTCTCACCTACCTTTGAATTAATTGACGTTTCCCAGTTTGCACTGGTTGACCAAGCAGTCAGTATAATTTAATATAAAACTTAAATATCTATTAAACATAAGTTAGCTGAAAAACTTGCAATGTTGAGCTTTTGTATATTGTGCATATAAGGATAATATTGAAGATAAACTAACAACAATTGGATTCTGGGTTGCTATGAAGCATCTCGGCGTAGTACATACGTTTACTCGAAAAGTTCTTTTACAAATAATACATTACGTTAGTATTATGTCCCTATGTGCATGCGAAACTTGATGTGGATTTAGTATGGTTAACATATAACACTTGTGTGTGTTAATAATTGAGCTAAGTAATTTTGGTAATAAAAAAAATCCCGATTTATTTGTGTCTCATCGTAAATCATCATCAACAGCCCTTAATAATCCACTGCTGGATATAGGCCTCTCCAAAGAAAGGAGGTTTTGGCGTACTATACCACGCTGGCCAGACGGGTTGGTATAAGGTTCGTGTCAAGTTTTCCTTCTCTTTGCAATGCTGTTGTCCTGCGTAGTTTGCTCCCTTAGTCGTCTCTTACGACACCCACGGGATGAATATGGGTGGTGACGCTCCGTATTCTTAATCCGTAAACTATAGGTTTCAATTAAGCCTAGCATTAATAATGGTGGCGCCCGCATGTTGCTTCTAATTAGAGCTGACCCTATTCATAAGAATTACATTAAGTAAATGCTGGTTAACCGCGATCACCTAAGACAGTTACCTAGCTCCTTTTGTAATTGTGGGTTGATGGGTTTAACGTTAATATATTGCTCATTTACCACATACAATAAAATGAACCAATGACACCATTACTGTAAAGATTAAACACGCCCGAACGGCTATTTTAGGTATTGTAATTTAAAACCGGTCGTTGATGTATCAGGAAATGGAAGGGATTTTAATTTGTGTTAGTAGCTGGCCGGGATCGTGCGTAGACGGGGTAACGGACTAACAACGCCTGCGCAGGGTCAACATTCTCTAGTCAAGGTCGGGTCAACGCTCCAGACTTGAGATTCTAACGAGACTTGGAACTCGATCAGCCTATAGTGTAGAATAAACATTAAATTTAATTATACATAGTGTTCTCTTCTTAGTACTGCTTGTGTGGTGCTTAAAGAGATCAGGTTGCATAATTTTCTATACACGTGAGATCAGGTCGATCACGTATCATTATTTATAGCCTAAGACACCCAATAGTCAGCCATGGTTCTAACCGGAACTAAAATCAATAGTAAATCCATAGTACGATGAAAAAAATTACATTTTATTTAAATGAATCGCTACTTCAATTTAATTTATTTGAAACATATTTTAATAAATATGGTGATATTTTTACAATCGAACTAGTTTCTATCCGAAATCAAATATGGCGGTCTCTTATAGTTGGCTATACAGATTAACTATGTACAACAACTGTTGTACTTTTTGACAGAATGGGCCTTCAACTTTAATATTCGGTTCAAAACAGCAGTCATTACAGTAAAACTGTCTAAGATTTACACGCGCATAAAATCTATTTCATATTGCAACGCATTTCACAACAGATCGATAAGAGATCGGATATTATGCAATTCTGACGTAAAAACATTGCAGGTTTAGAATTTAGATTATTATGGCGGACAAAATTGACGTGTATATGTGCATGACGTCAATCACACTGTATTATGGCGTGAAAATCACGCGATAAAAAACGATCCGGTAAAGCCAAAAGCTTTTTTATCTAATCCGCAATCATCGACTTTCTTCAAACTTTATATATTATAATTCTTCTGTGCGTGTATATGTATGTGACTGAACTCCTTCTTAAATAATCTGTGGAACGCGTTATCGTCTGCGGTATTTCCGGACCGATACGACCTTTAAACCTCCAATAAAAGAGCGTACTCCTTCCTATGAGGCGGGCAACGCGTTTGTGACTCCTGAGTTGCAGACGTTCATGGGCGGCAATAGTCACTTTCCATCAGGTGACCCGCCTGCTCGTCTGCCTCCTCTAATAATAAAAAAAAAAAACGACTCGACCGACTATTTTTAACTATTGTAAAATGTACTAAGCAGGAGTAGTCTGAATGTAAACTTCTGTTATCTACATTTAAGAATCATTTAAAATTTATGTGTCCACTGAGCAAACATTATTTACCTCGAAATATCATGTACTATTGTTTTATTTTAGGTTAGATTAGGAAGTCCATTAAAAAAATTTTAGAAAACAGATCTTTCTACTTTCATTGAATGTTCACCAGAATGTTTTTTTTTAATACCTGCTAGTTCTTCACTATTCCTAAAAAAAGCCACAAAAACATGTTCAGGTAAACATTTCTTGATACAGGAACTTGGTCCCATTTTTTGTTCACAAACTTTTTCTTCATAACATTTGATAAGTTTGGAAGCACAAAATGTAAGCTGTGGTTTATTTGTCCAAACTGAGTTACTACAAAATATAAGCTAATGGTAATAAAATAAGGACTATCTTTGTTTATTGTTTGGTATGGTTTACATATATAACCATATAGAAAACTTTTATATGTACTATGGCTCGAAAGGAATGTTATTGCAGTTGTGTAGATCTGGTTGAAATATTATACTCCAATAATAAAGAGAATGCAAAGAAACATTTTTCTTCCAATACCTATGCATTTCTTTTCTTAGATAAATGTTGAACTTTTTAAAGTATTTTTTAACAAAGGGGATTTATGTAACATACAGTATTACTGCCAAGTATTACTGCACAGCAACAGTGACAAATTTATTGGAATTTATCTTGAAAATAAACCTAGTAATTCTTATTACACAACTTATTGATTCTAAAATTATTTTATTCTGAAATACGATAGCCTTACTCCTATATAAGTGTTTATCTGCAGTCTAGTTTGCATAGTACAGGCTTGCCTAGTTAAGGATCAGACAGCCATTTATGTAAAATGTCTCAAATTATCTATTAAATTATAACATTAGAAGTACTAACTACATCTATGAAGCTCTAGAACAACTATCAATCTGGAAGCTCACAATAACAAAAAAAGTGATGCAATCAAACATCATAATATAACCTCACAAATTTCACAATATTAAATACGTACATATTCACCTGTACTTCGCCATATTTCTTTGTTGTTGTTACGAATTAGACAATTAACTCAATACTGCAGGGTAAAGCAGCAATAAGTGTACATATAATGTACACAGCAAATTTGTAACATTCAGGGTTGCATCAATGCACTATAGAGACCATCCCTTGCAAGAAAGACAATGGTTGTTATTAGAGGAAACAATCATACAGTATCAACTAAGTTTGTAAGTAAGTGGTGCAACAAACAATCACTTTATAAACATTACATTTCCAGAAATATTTTAATATAAAAACCTTGTACTACCTTCTATTTTTGTAAGTAATCTGCTACAGAGACATGATGTATTGAAAAAAAAAATCATTTTTTGCTCTAAAGGAATATTAAGAAAGAAGTTTCTGGTAAAATTCATTGTGCAGATACATGTGTGCTGGGTTTAACTTTATCAAATTTCTGAAAATTGTTCTTATCTACAAATATAGGTTATATTGTGAAATCTAAATATAGCTGCTGTGTCAGTGTCAGTTTACTAACAATCACTTATTGTTGAATGTAAGCTGATGAATATTATAACTTTCAAAATATATCAACCATTGATATCTACCTACATCAATAAAGGGGTACTATGAATGAATATGAATTAAAATAGGTCTTGGTGTGTTTTCTTGTCTACATTATGCGTGACTCATTCGACAATACATCATTAATGTATCGGCCAGCTATTTAAAAGGTACACTAAGGATACGCACAATTAGACAAAGTCAAACAAAGCGGGTAGCGATAGTTACACTTCGATAGTTACCACAGGGTGGGGACATTGTAAATCACGTATTTACAGATAGCGATATGACTTCTAGCTGCAAGACCCAAGTAAATAGTGTTAAAAGAACTTTTTAACAACAGAATAAGACAAATTATATTAGAATTTTAAATAGTTTCGTGACGCCTGCTGACGTCTGCCGTGCTTCGGGGGCACGACCTTTAAAACCATTTATAGTAAAATGTTATCTAACAGCGAGTAAAATGTGAATAGAGTGTCACTTACCTTCACAGCCATACACATTGAATAGAAATTGAACGGTTGCAGCCGTGAGCAGCCAAGGAAATTCACTACACACGTGAGAAACGTGTGCACAGCACAGATAACTTGCTTAAACTGAGGCGAGACTGAAGTTTGGTATTGCCATTTCAGAACAAGGACGGCATGTTACCATATACAAATCATATGTTCTACTACATCCAGATCGTCCAGTGACGATTTATTGATTTTTATGTATTAAATGGAGTTGACTTTTCAAATCATTTTAAGCTTACTTTTCAAGCATTTTGTATGGTCTAATACAAATCAAAAGATTGTTGTACTGTAACAGGATTTAAACAAACCTTTAGCTTAATTTATACAGATCTTTAACTTAATTTATACAGATATAACAACAGAACACTAAAGACGGGTACATTAGCATACTTTACAATACACGTTACAACAGCAAATTCTCAAGCATATCTTGAGAATTTGCTTGTACTCGTACCTTCGTTCAGGTTGAAAAATTGCTAGTTTGTAGTAACAATCATTTATTTTGTCTGGGTACCGAACATACGACATCTGTCTGTCAGGATCACCAACCACTAGATCATCAAGTCAGTCAAAATTAATGAAACAAGGTACAGCATGATATGATTAAAACTAGGGCTCTGTATTTCATCCAATTTCCTACGACTAACACAGCAGTACCTTATCATATTTTAGGCGACCGAATGGCGTAGTGGTTTGTGTAACGGACTGCTATTCCAAAGGTCGCGGGTTCGATTCCCGCTCAAGTCAAGCATTTGTGTGCATGAACATTTAATGTTTGATTTGGTCTGGGTGTTTCTATGTATAATATGTATGTATTTACAAAAAAAAAAAGTATATATGTATTTATATCAGTTGTCTAGTACCCATAGTACAAGCTCTGCTTAGTTTGGGACTAGATGGCGTTGTGTGAATGTAGTAGAATATTATTATTATTATATATACGCACATGACTGACAAACTTGGCAAACCTAATAGTAGGGTAGCCTTGGAAGGGTTTTTGAGATTTACTCAAGCGTGTCAGATTAAGATAAGAGGAATACCTTACACCCTGTAGAGTACCTCCACCATACATAAGCCCATCAGATTAGTTAAAAAAATATCGATGGCCAAAAATACTCGAGCATGTAAGATTAAGGTAAGTTGAGTCAATTAAATACACATTAGTTTGTATTTGAAAAATTCAGACGATTTGAGCGTGACATAAAGCAGTGACCGTCCGTCACAAAGTGAAAACCCATGACCTTAACATTTTCAACTCTCTCTCGACTGCGAGCGCGTTCAGCGTTGCGTTTGGGGAAGATTTCAGAGGCACAAGTGAGTTTATTTCTTATTTACTTGATCGTCACGCTGACCGTGTTCCGTGCTGCGATTGGCCCGCACTGAGGGCCTAGTGCAAGCTTATTTCACATCAACTCGCTCTCGATAGTGAGCGCGTTCGGCGTTGCGATTGTGGAAGATTTCAGTGGCATAAGTGAGTTTATTTATCATCAACTTGATGGTCACGGTGACCGCGTTCGGTGCTGCATTGGCCCGCAATGAGGGCCTTTTTTTATTTTTTTACGTGTGGAAACCCCCTCGGGCCGTCACCCCACCGAGGTTTGCGGCGGGGCGGTGTGTTGGAATCGAACCGACTAAAACCACACGTTGTGCCACTGTGCGCCTGAAATAGGAGGGATCCGGGAACAACTATTATTACGACATCCGGACCCCTCGTAGCGCCTGTCCGCAAAAGCGCGGGCACCACCTTCGGTACAACTCTCTATTTAGACGACGTTTGGAACACGTGAACGTCGCCTCCTTGCGGCTGGCCATTGTAGCGGCTGGAGTGGAAAACCCGTCCCGTCCACCCGCGGCCACACTCAGGGCGGCATGAGGCGCTGAAATGCGCGCCTTCACCGCCCGGTTGCCGGCGGCGAATTGGGTCCGAGTGGAGGTCATTCTGGTGAGCCCTCTCCGCCCCCTCCTTCTGCGAGATGACGTCTTTGCAGAAGGATGCGACCGCGGTAGAGCAACTATCACTACCGACCATGGACCGTATGATGGCCGGTAGCGAGAGATCCTCTCCGATGACTGCAATAAGGACCCGACGCTGCGACGCCCAAGCCGGGCACATTCCGCACTGAGGGCCTAGTGCTACTTGCACTAGGCCCTCAGTGCGGAATGTGCCCGTATTTAATTCACCGTATTTCACATCAACTCGCTCTCGACGGCAGCGAGTGAAGATTTCAGTGCGGGCCGATCGCAATATTCTTACACTTGGGCCCCAGGTGACCCGCCTGCTCACTTATCCCTATCATTAAAAAAAACCATTTGTAACCTTACATTTTCTACTATTAAATGGATATAATTATTATGTAGGTAAATCAAACAGTTATTAAGTTATTTTTGAATGAAGTTTATTTAGAGTCATTCGGTTAGGAGAAATATACACAGTGGTTTATGCTACATAAACATATTGTCGTTGAAGCCAGGAGGAGGGAGATGGTCTGCATCAGGCGGCGCGGGTCGTCGGGCACCCGGCAATGGACCTCCTGGTGGGCCAAATGGGTCGAAACGAGCACCAGGGGGTACTGCCCCTCTGTCAATGAAAATCAATTAACATGACATGTAATTTTATGATATATGTAGGTAGACAGGTAACATTTAAGGATAGCTTTGATTACAGACGAATCCAATCAAGATAATTCGAATCACTTTTGTACCGTGTAAGTTTGTCATGGTTCATAGTTCAAAGTTCTAACGTCTTCGATCAAACAAGCTAGTTTCTTTGATGGAAGTCTTCGAAGAAAAGAGTCGTCGTCAGTTTCGACGTAATATATGTACGACTTGGCTCTTTACTGCATAATTTTGTAGTTTGGATTTACAGAAAGCAGAAATCCCCACCGATAAAATAAGTCATCTATTTATAAAAGTCAATCAAAATACTTCTATAAAATGACAAGGCATGTTTTCTTTTTGTTTCATTAATCGTTGATGTGGCTTTTGCGTGTTTGTGGAACATTTGGGTAACTGTAACAGTACGAGATCATTTATAGTATAACTGAACTGAACCTTTCCAATAACTAAATTATATTTCTATACAAATTATTCTTTCAATTTGATTCTTATGTATCTATGTAAATAATAAAACTGACTGTATTGATCATTTCTACGTCATAGCTATTGCCGCTATTACGTGTATCTAAGATAAAGATCAAAGATAATGTTTAGGGCTGGTAATAACCTTCTTTTACAGGTATATATATAACCTTAGCTACGGTTGTCTTTACCAAAATTTAACTTCTAGAGTTCTCAGATTTACAATTCTTTGTGTAAGGTTGAATAGATTAAGATCAAGTGCACTGACATCACTAAATTTGGAGCGAAAAACATTTAAAACAATTTCTAAGCCCACATTTTATTCGAAGTTGTGTATTTGAGGGACTACAATTACTGTGTCAAGCCCTCGAAGTCACAATTCAATGAACTGTAATGACGAAGCTTTTGACACATTATACATTAAAAAAAGGCCCATTATTCTCAAGCACATAATTGGTTATTGTGTAACTCCATAAACAATCGCATGTTAGTATGACTTGGTTTTAGTAGTTTCGTTGTATTGATCTTAAAATGATATAACCTACCTTGGTAGACCACCTGGTATGCCGAGACCAGGGTTTTCTAAATCCCTACGTGGTTCAAAGGGATTGTAGAGCATGCCACCACTGCCGCCCGGTGCGAAAGGGTCTAAGTCTGACCTACCAATACTTGGTATGCGTGGAGGCGATATTCCCCTAGAATAAGAATCATACATACATTTAGTTGCTATCAGACCAAAAATTGCAAGAAGAAAATAGTAAATTTTTAATAAGAAAGGTTTTTAGAATATTTCAAAAGTGGACAGAAATCATAGTGATTTTATTTTATACATGTTGGCAATGCGCGGAAGCGCTCAAACTGCTGTAGATGTGCAACAGACATTTAAGTCACAATTTGTTTACAACAACTGTCAGATCTGACAGAAATATTTTATCAAAGACAAATTTATTGTTATCATCAACATACAAGTCTATGATTTATCACCACAAAATAGATTTACTTAAAAAATATCCTGATTTTACTGTGATTTTATACTCTGTCCGTTCGTTTCTTTTCTTTTTTTAGTTCAGATAACCTGATTTAAAGATTTGTTTATTATCAATCGCTACACTTCTTTTCATAATTATATATAACATATCCATTATATTTTTGTCATATAAAATGAATGCAAATTGTTACAAACACTACATGTATGAGTATAAGAGTGCTTCTATACGGTGCAAGTAGCTGGAGCGGCAAAAACGCAGATTACTTGCGTCAGTAGCATGCACGAGTTACTTGCACGTTTGGTTGATATAGTGTGAATGCTGCTTGTGCGGGCTACATGTTTGCGTCTTGCTCATTTTAAATTTGACACAGTTTAGTACCAGGGTGCTTGTACACGGTGTAAGTAATCTGCGCGAGTCACTGGACGCATAGTCCTTTTTGCGAAGCAAAGAAAGTGCGCAAGCTTCTTGCATCGTTAAGAAGCACCCTTAGTATTCTCCACACGACTCTAAAAGTGATATTTGTATCTACGGTATACTCTAAGAATATATGTATAGAGCTGTGTTTTATGATTATTTAAACTATGTATTCCCGAAATGAACTATACAATACAGAGTAGGGTTGTTCCAAGGTTGCTGCTTATCATGAGTAGTATTTAATACAATTATAAATATATTGATAGATAATATCGCAACACACGAAAAGAGGCTTTAGGTTTAAGGTCAATGGAAAATATACGGTGTACCAGATATAACTCATACGACCCCGGGATTACTATTGGTGGAAAAAGTGTTTCAATGATACCAGAAACCGTGCCCTTTAAATTCCTTGGAAGAAAGATAGACTACAAAGGTCGTACTCCATCTATGAAAGCAATAGTCGATGACTTCGTAAAAGACATTAGCAAGGTAGACCGACAGCCAATAAGTATAGAAAAAAAAGCTTGGATTTACGACAACTACCTAACGTCACGTCTCAACTGGCCGGTTTTGGTCTACGATATAAACCAGAACCGCTTAAGAACACTGGACGCGAAAGTCAATAAGACATCGAAGTCGTGGCTCTGTCTTGCACCTGTATATGGTGCAAGACAGAGCCACGACTTCGATGTCTTATGACCCTAGGATGCTATTAAAAAGATCTTCGGAACTCTACAAACACCTAAGAGTTACTAAAATGCATGTCTTGTCAAAATCACAAGACGAAATCGTTTGATCCCTTCCAAAAGACAAAAGCGATATCATACGATTGGTCACCTGCTCTGTTAAAAATTTACCTCAACGCCTTTTAATTGACTCTCCCCGATCAAAGCAACCTAGTAAGGTGGGGAAAAGCTACAGAAAAGGCTTATACGATATGCGGTGCGGAAATAGGTACAGCCAGGCACTTACTGACAGGTTGTAAGGCGCTATTAGATAGTCATTATTCACGTCGCCATGATATGGTATTACAAATCACACGCGAAGCTAAAGGTTTATCGCTGGCTATAGTGGAAAAAGGAATAACAACAAACATAAGAACTAACATCGCGTTTGTAAAGGAAGGTTCAACAAAGACTTCACAAAAGCCGTACTCAATTATAAGGACCGCCAGGACATTATTAGTGGACACGTATAAAAATCATTACAGAATACTGGAGGATATCTGTGTCTCGGCGTCCAGACCAGACATTTCTTTATGCAATTTCAATTTAGCGTGTAGCACTAGTAGAAGTCACGGAAACAAACATCATTAAAGACAACGCTTTAAAAATAAACAAGTACTTTGACTTAACCAACAAAATAACTAAAAATGGTTATGTCGTTGCATTGTATGAGGTGGAAGTGGGTGCGAGAGTTATACCAGCTAAATCCCTCCATAACCTGATTAAAGATCTTGGATTGCCAAGAGCTTCAGAAAGCTCTTTTCTTGAACGATTATCCAAAGCGGCATTGCTAGGCTCGTATCAAATATGGTTAGGTAGAGGGGGTAACACAGCAGACAGTGGAGGTAAGCGATGACGCGTCGCAAGAAGTACTCCCTAAACCTATGCCAAGTCACAAGTCGCAGGCGCTGTCGAAATCGCATGTGTTGCCCCCATCTATCACGCGTTGGACCCGGCACCCACACAGTGAATAGATGGAATGCTAACAAATAGGTCTATTTAAACCTACATATATATATATATATATATATATATAAATATATGTATATGTGTGTGTGTGTGTGTGTGTGTGTGTATTTTGCCAATCGTAATGGGCTTTACTTAAAGGTACCATAAGCCTGGGGGATCTGAAATTATTCCGGGTCTAGATGGCGCCCGTAGTGGATCCTCAGGTCGTCGTGTATTGCTCTGCGCTGAAACAAATAAAATTCCGAATTTGAAATATATTGTTTGAATTATTCACTTATTCACTTTATTTTTGACTGCACGGATGGCGTAGTGGTTTAAGCGGTCGCCACGCCGCTTCCTACTACGCCGAGTGTTGTGGGTTCAAACCCCACATGGGACGACACTTTGTGTGATCCACAAATTGTTGTTCCAAGTCTGGGTGTTATTTGTGTCCGTTTCATGTATGTTTGTAAAGTCCCCCGCGACACAGGATATTTTCCTAATGCGGGAGTTGTCTTTTTTAAAGAAAAGAAAGAAATTTTATTATCTACTTTATTATGTACTCTATTATCTTAGTCACTTTAAATCCAAGATACAAAGGTTGCCAATTCATGGAATATTCCTATTTGGCATGTTACGCAAAACATTGATATTTGCAAACCGAATTTAATCATTATTTATGTTTAATTAAGTTACTTGGTTTAATTTAGATCCTATTTATTTATTTAATATTTCTCTTCTACGTTAGAAAAATTGAGGGATAAAGAATAGAACCTATTAAAATGGCTATATAATGATAACGGTTTTATATGTAGAGATAGTATCAGCGCTTACCTATGCTTGTAGAAAATGTAATAAATAATCCAAATATGCATAACAACAAAGACAAGGAGTTATATGTTATAAACATTTTAAACAGTATTGCACTTCCAGTTAACACTAAACAAAGACTAAATGATTCGAAGATCTATATAAGCTAAACTCGCAGTAATTTCCTTAAGTGAGTCACTGGCTATCATAATAACATAACCAATTATTTATATTCTTCAATGTTCCCGTTTCTTTATAACCTTGAATATAATATTAATAAACAAAGCTGTTAAGGTCAAATGCAATAAATTGTTGGTAGTCTCTGTATAGATATTTACTTATATACTTTCAAATATGTTGTTATTGTTCAACTGTCTATCATATATTAGTACGAGGTTGTAGTAATCCGGGTACAAGAAAGCTATCAAAATTAAATCCATTTAATTTTTTAAACTCCCTTTCACTCTATTCAATCTATAATAGCTAGTAATAATAATAATTTGATCCCTATTTCTGGCAAATGATAGCTTCATAATAGCAATCCAAGACCAAATTATCAACACAAAACGCTACAGAAAGTATATTATTAAAGATCCTACAGACTACAGTAACGGATGATAGATGTAGAAACAAAACAACATAGTACTAAAGCATGCCCTAACCTTGCACAAACAGACTACACACATCAACTTAATCAAATTGCAAATTGCATACATCAAAGAATAGCCCTCAAACATCAGTTTATTCCGAACACGAGCACCAATATATCCCTAAAGAAGTTTTGGAAAGTAACACCCATAAAATGAACTATGACCCTGTAATACTGACCGACAGGACTACAGAATAGAACCGCTCTGATTTGATCGTACAAAACAAGATAAATGAAACCACTTACCTGATCAATCTAGCTCTCCCAAACACTCACAACCTGCAAAAACCAATAGCAGAAAAGATACTGAAACTGTAACCCCATGCTACCTGCTTCTTCAAAAAACTGCTTACAAATAAATAAACAAGAATCCCCCATAACCCTACAGACTTAACTTCTCCTAAAAAAAGTGGCATTTACTTGACTGTCTGTAAATGACACTAAAATGCTAAGAGTGAGAAAAACAAACTCACAACGAATAATATTAATAAAGTTCACATGGCTACACACGGCTGCCTGATCCCAAACTAGGCAGACCCTGTACTATGCTAACCAGATTGCTGATAAACATTTTATATTTCTTAATACATACATATTATGTATAAATAAAACCACAATGCAGAACAAATGATCATGCTCATCATACAATTATTTACCCAGGGTAGGTTTAGTACCCACAACCTATGGTTTTAAGTCAAGATCACTAACCAGTAGAGTACTAGACCAACAGGCTCGTCAAAGTACCCCTAAGCAGACAACAAATACAAATAGTGTATAAATATTTAGAGATAAGATCAAATTCTGATCATGAAATTATAAAAAAAACGAATATCCATCAGGCAAATATATAGGAGTATACCATGGGGTATACCATACCGTACCACATTGCGTCACGGGTCACGGTAACACCAAAAATAATGTTTTATTTATATATATAATAAATATCTTAGATAAATATCTTAGTATTTTCAAAGTTCTTTAGGAAAAGAAATACAATATAGTCATATTTAGAAGGCTTGTTGGGGTTTATGTATTATATTTTTATTATTTAAAAAGTGCAAGTTTAAAACATTAAAACGACATTTGATTATTACCCTTTGATTACATAACTTCGCTTCTTAACTCTGTTATGAATGCGAAAGTATTGATGGATGTTTGTTACTCAATCACTCCATAATGGCTGAACCGGTCTGGCTGAATGGATATGAAATTTGACAGAGATAGATTATTGTCTGGAACAGCTCCAAACTAGCACTAGGCTTGTACTTTTTGTCTCAGAAAAATTGATTAGCGAAATTCTCATCAATGCGAGCGAAGCCACGGGCAAACACTAACATACACATCACATCGGTGATAAAAGGTTACCATAAGGAAAATCTTAAATATTTTTTTCTATCATCACTACATTAAAGAAAACTTTTAAATCATTGTCAACTAGGTAAAATAATAAGAAAAAATTAGCAATGATTTCTGCTCTCATAATGATTAAAATTTGAATTAAGATTACATCTTACATTTTTTATTATGTTTTTCTTTAAACAAAAACTATAAGAAATTCTGTTGGGGTTTCAATTAATTTAGTAATAAGTAAGGTAGTGCAGTGATACTGATATGTCTAGGGCTGCACAACAAGTCTGGCACAATTTAGTTTAACAGTAAACAGACTTTATTTCTTTATCTTTCTTGATTTTTAAAAGACGACTCATTAGGAATATATCTATATAACTTTACAAACATACATGATACGGACACAAAGAACACTCAGGCTCAGACCAACAATTTGTTTATAACACAATGTGGCATCCTATGTGGGGATCCGACCCACGACACTCAGCGTAGAGACCCATCCATCAAATACTTTAAAAAAATACATAATACTTTTTTTGTGTCTTAGTGGTAGCAGTCAAACCTCAGATGAGAGAAAGAGAGAGTGTGATTTGATTAAGTTCTAATTTCCAAATCTAATATTTTATACAAGTCACAAATATTTTCAAGAAATGAAAAAAGACTTTATTATGATTTAATAATTAAATGAATAAAAACCCAATTATCACTTAAGGTGAGATGTCATTTAGGAATGTAGTTTTGCTGTCACTTGGAGGATAATCTTAGGTTTCCTAGAAGAGTTCAAGAGTCATCATAAACACATTTAATTGATACTTACGTCTTGATGTTTGTGTCTCTACAGTAGCTGTTGATCTTTCAGTTACTGTGTCTATAAGGTCTCTTTTCACATTATAGATTAGTTCCATGTGGCTTGGTATCATCTTTTCTATACTCCCTTGAGTTTCTTTTACTGTATCATCTATTTTAAGCGCTATATTAGATACTGCCAGATCTTCTGACCTCTGTAAAGGAAGTACATTTAAAGATTAAAATCATATTACACTAGCTTTTATATGGTGTGTAAGTTAGAGAGGTAAAAACAATCAAAAATCAAATCAAATCCTTCCTCAACAATCAAAGTATCTTAATGTCAAATATCATTAAAATCGGTTTAGTAACACGCAGACAGAGTTACTTTCGCATTTCTGTATTGTAGATCATACAAACATCAAGATTAAGTGATTAATACAGTTGACGGCCTTATTACACTATGGTAATCCGTTATTATCAGCACAATATCAAAAAACAATACTTAATAACTTTAAAACTATTTAGCTATATATATCTAAAACAAAAATAACTAAAACAAACTAGCAGTATCTGACTCTCTGACTCTGACTGATATCATTTTATACGACAAGAGTGATCATGCCTATTTATCTAGAGATTGTAGGTGCAAGTCCCACCCAAGACAGAGTTGTGTAATGAGCACAATCAAATTTAGTTCCGTTTTTGGGTGTAATTTTCCTATTTATAGCAACAATACACAAATATGTTAAATAGTAGTCTGGTTGCCACAGTAGAGGCACTGCCTAGTTTGGGGCTAGAAGGACATTTGTGAAGTTACTAATTATACTATTTATGATGCAATAAGTCAAGTAAAAGCAATGTTTCACTGTTTTACATTACAATTAAAATGACAGATGATAAAGTAATCACAAGCTATAAGCAAAAAATTACTAGATTTAATTTACTTCTTTATTATGTTCATTTTTGATATTTACCATAAGATTGATAATAAGATTTCCATCAGTACTCAAGGCATGTAATATGAACAGTTTATCTTCTAGAAGATATCTAAGTGCATAATTATCCTTATCATTCCAACCAGTTGGTAAAAGCTCACTTTTTTCTTCGTCTCCGGTCAAAGTTCTCTGAAACAGCAGAACAGTTATTTGGTGTACTTGACAAGTACAGTTACATGCAATAAAATCTTCAAAAAGCTGCTTTACATACCTCATCCCCTATGCCAATGCTCCTGAAACCCCTTTTAGATAAATTCCAATGGATAAATGCAACAATAACATCAGCTTTCCGTTTTATATCCTTTTCTACAATTTTGTAAGTTAAATCCCAACCAAATAGTGGATCTGACGCCATTTTTGTGATTCTTTTAAAAATATGGTATTTTAATAAAATGAGTTGCGTAAAAGTTAATTTTTCTTTAATGTTTATTATTACGGCCTCGTATTTTTCTTACTTCCGTTTTGAAAAAGACTCGTCATGTTTTGCTTCAGGTGTCAGTCAGTGTTAATCCAATTGTCAATGTCAAATTGACAAAATCAACTAAACTGGGCAACTTTAATTAATTAATTTTGTTGTGGTAGGTACGATTTTTAGAATGTTGAACAGGGGTTTAAGCAGGGGTCATGCTTGGGAGGATCCAAAATATTATTACATCATATTATACGACTGCACGGATGGCGTAGTGGCCGCTTACTGCTAACTACGCTGAGTGTTGTGCATGCGATCCCTACAGTGGACGACACTTTGTGTGATCCACAAATTGTTGTTCTGAGGTGTTCTTTTTGTCAAATATTATACAAATAAATAGAAATTCTGATAATTAATTGATACCGATACGTATAGTCCATCTAATCTAAGATTTACCGCTTGACGTTTCATACTTTTCAAGACGAAAAATCTTTGTATAGACTCACACAATTTCAATGACCCTTTCCCTAAAACCATGGAATTTTAAAACTATTTTTTTTTATCGCAATATGTATAATTCTTAATGACTCCTACATTTTAATTTTTCAAATAAAGCAAAATAACCACGATAACTACAGGTCCTTTACCGTAATGTTGCGGCTCTTCAAATTCACTTGAATACGAGTAATAGTTAAAATGTACGAAAAATCGAGATTATTAATAGTCACTTTGAATCCAGGCGTCTTAAAGTGTTTAATAATACTTAAATTCATCTGACATCTAACTGTCAATGACAACGCATAATTAAAAAAACTATGTAAGTTAATGTAATTTTAAATAAGTCTTTGTAGGCAAAAATCACTCGTGTCCAAGTCTAGTGTATACTAATATTTACTACTAGAACCTATGGTCTGCTATTACATTAATAGTAACATACCTAGAACATGCTGAGAAATGATATCGAAATTTCTTAAGAATCGGATATTGTAATAGTAAATTTCTTTGACCCATCGCTATACTTCATTCTGTCAGAACTGTCAAATGGAATCTCTTAGATTAGATGGAATAAAATCGGTAATTCTATTCATGCACTGCACTGCACACACGCGGTTAAGAGCTGGGACTTTACGGGATAATTAAACAATAGGTATATTGTTTACGCGAAATACTTAAATAGCTAGAGCTTAAAAAAAATGTGTTTTTGAAAAGTCAGCAAGGTCAGTGAGAGAATTAATAGAATGTAATTTTTAACTACTTTCAAAATCAACTTGGATGGATTGAGTTTTTCTAATAGTAATACTAAATATGTCAATCACTAGTGGATCCAAAAACAACATGGCGGACAGTGTCAATCCGGGAACGTCGTGATCGGAACGTGAAATAATGAATTTTGTTGTTTTAGAATATGGGTGAATATGTGCAATAATTTATTACACTTTAGTGTGAAAAGTGTTGTGTTTTAATTGTATTTGTGTTATTTGAGTGTGAAAATGGCCTCGGATAAGATTAAAGTTGCTGTTCGAGTTCGTCCTTTTAACAGACGAGGTAAGCTGGTTTCGTTTTGCTAATAAATAAAGAAATCGCTATCACTCAGGTGACTCTGTTACCTCAATTTATCTATGTATTCTGTTTAACAAATATTCGTGACAAAGCAAAGGATTTATTAATTCTTGCAATACTTTATATTACATTTCTATTAAACTACATTCATTATTTTTTATTTAAAATTCTGTCAAGGATTAAACGAACTAGTTTTTAATTACCAAAGTTGCAAATTGCCTTGTGTGATGTTTGTTATATTTTTGTTGTATCCATGCAAGTAATTATAACAATAAAGCAACTATGTAACACATACTGTTTATTTACAACTGTAATGCTTTTCTTTTTAATTTAAAATTATTATATTGCAAAAATTGGAATCGGTCATTCCTTTTATTATCATTCGTAGACAGATTAAGTAATTAGAGTACATATGTATCAAGAATATTTTTTTTGTACTAATTTTGGGGTAACCAGCTTCTGAAGATAAAATCATGACAGTGAAAAACAACACCCACATACCTAATAAGTTAACAACTAAGTTGACTAAATTAATTATTGTTTTTTTTATTTGTTATTATATTTTTATTCAGTGGTCAATCTAGTAAAATTTAATTATCTTAAATTACTTTTCATATTGTATTGCACAAAGTGGACTTTTTTCTGTCAACCTCCTTTCTAAGGAGAGGCTTATGTCCAGCAGTGGACTGTCAAAGGCTGTTGATGATGATGAACCTTTGGGCAGAGCTGTGTATGGCAGGTGTATATTTGTGTGTCTTACAATGTATAATTTAAGAACATGGTCAAAAATCATCATATGTGTGTGTATGTATAGTTATATATAATTTATATATTTATCAATACACATAGAATTTCCTCCCTCCCACTCATTTCCACACCACCCTAAGGTAGACTGGTAGAGAATGCCTATGGCATTAAGTCCGCCATTGTACTTATGTGCATAAAGTTATTAAATAAAAATAAAATAAAAAAATAGTTAGACACCATAACATAAGCATAGGTAATATTCTAAATACTAAATAAGTTAATGTTGTTTCTTTACATAAATTGATAAACAACAATCCACATTGTATTTGCCTACATTATTTCCCATACTTAGTTAAATAATTTATTACAGAGAGACATAGAAATTATAAAAGAAAAAGTATATGAATTTTTCACAATAAAATTGTAGCTTCTTTTGTCATCATTTAATTAGTAATCTTAAAATGTCATTTTTTGAGAACAATCTAAAACTTCTTGAGAAACTTTCTTTTGAATTATGTAATAATAATAATATAACAATTGAAGCTGACTATTCATCCATTAGATCTTTGTTAAACAGCATTACAATCTAAATCTAGTTTTTATATGAACTGGTTATCATTTGTTTGCATTCTTATTAGCGTTTGTGGTGTAGATATTTTATTATTCATCAAGTGTTTTCTTTCTTCATCTTGTCAGGTGTGGCCTGAAGGGGTTCCTTCTGGCAACACCTTCACCATATCTTTAAATTTATTTAGCTGACTTAAAGAAATAGAAATTTTATTTTTCTATATTTGTTGTCTAAGAACTCAGGCATTTATGAACTGATTTTAAAAATTGATATTATTTTTTATATATATATGTATGGGTGGGAAAATACCAATAAATAGAAAGAAATTAACTAACTTAATGTTCAATAGATTGATTTTTGTTGTGCTGTATGATAACTATGCCATCACATGAACTAGTGTACTAACTAGTTGAGATATCTATGTACACATTATAATTAATTAAGTTGTTATCTAAGATATATAATCTGAAATTTATGTAACCCTTAATTATTTCAATGTTTACTTAACTACCTAAAAAGTAGTCTAGTTTCTTTCATATCCATCTAATAAACTAGATAATTACCTACAGCCATAAACCACAGAAACTAAAATATAATTTCCTTTCGAAAAAATTATGTATCTTATAAACTAAAGAATGACTATTGTCACACGTACACATTCTGATATTTTGCTTCAGGAAATAAAAAAACAATAAAGACTAAGTAATTTAAAAACATTTAACCTTGACAAAGATGTATGAATGACTTTGTTAGTAAATAGTTGAGTAAAATGAGATAGTTTTGGTACACGACGCTCACTTGCATTCGTCATGGTAAATAAACGCGCGAAATCCTCGATGTGATTGCTTATTCCACTTTCCGCCTTTACGTAATTTATCAAATCGATTCTAGCCACTGCCTGTGCGTTGCGACAGCCCAACCGGCTGGATGAACATTGTTTTCTTTTTATTAATTTGCTCTCTCAATGTTTGCCTTCACTAGTGCTGTTCAACATTTATCCAATAAATTACTGCGGAAACGCGCCATTCATCGGAAGTCACGACATAACAAAATGAATTATATGGAATTCAATAAAAGAATATTAATAAATTGGTTATGGTGTACGCCATGAATATAAAACGCAGTGATGATTAACTTGCATTTGTTGTCTGTATTGTGTTACAGTTTGAATCTCTATTATTTTGCATGACGTACTAGAATAACATGTATTATTAGTTCGTCTAAGTACTATAATTATCTTTTTCCTTGTGAATACATAGAATTATAAAGAAAATGTATGAGTAAACGAACTATTTAAAGTGCCCCAGTTAAAGCCTAAAGAGGTATCTCGCTCAGTGTTAGCTCAGACGAGTTGTATGAAATGTTTAGTTCCGACAATAGTATGTATGTGGATTATATAAAGCACGCGTACATAAGGTGTAGAACCGGATTTGATAAAGCATCGGCACGGACGTAACTACTTCACCCGACCTCGGTGACTCACCTCCATGGTGCCTACATAGCATTTAAATTAACCAAATATTTATGTGTATGAAGAAATGCTTTAATAGATATTATAAATACTTTACCTTACTTTAAACATGAGAGAAGGACGTCAGATCTATGCTATAGATAAAAACGAAAAAGGAATACATTAAAATTAGTTAAAAACTGTAAAATGTTATACTCTAATGTAAACTAAGGCCATGTATGCATTGTACGGTGTTCAAGGTCGGTGTATAATGCATCGTAAAGATTTTTATGGTTAGTGAAAAAACACAGATTATGTAAATTAAAACTAGTGAAAATGACTTCGTGACGGCATTGTATAGACGCCTTTTAATTTCCTTTAATGGTTATCAGGTACTCAAGTAAAACGTGTTCAAGAAATGAACTAAGTAATATACAATTACTACTAGATACCGTTGTACTGTGGTTTGATGGTTTAGAAAACTAGGAGATCGCAGTTATGGCAATATTTCTGTTGTGGTATTTTCATTATTATCAAACGTAACGAAATCAAATTTTTATTTGACCAGTAGAATAAGCGAAATAATGCTAAGATTGATAAAATCTAAATCTTTTTGTGTTC